CCTGCATTTCAAATTTCTGGCTAATTTATACACTGTTCAAAGCTCATGCTGTTAATTCAAAATTTTTGTAGCTATACATGTTAGTTAATCCCATGCACTCCTCAGCTAGCTACCATGCACATTTTGTATGTTAGCCTTTATTTTTTCCGTCTGTACTTTTTCTCCTCTGGCTGTTTTAAAAATGTTATTCCTATTTCCGTCACACTATCGCCTTTTAGTTTGTCTTGCAAGAATGTGACATCAGCAGCCAAATGAACCATTTCCAGGGCCCCTCTGATAATTCCACAGAGTAAATTGCAGTAGCACAGAGAAGACCGCCCAGCAGGGAGCTCTTCCACAAATTCCGATAGAGGATTCTTGTCTAGAATCAGTGAAAATTCATTTCTGCTTGAATTGTTACAGGTCACACTTGGTGTAACTCCCAAATACATCTTGAAAGCAACCTCAGCAATTATATGTGTAACTTCTGAATAACTGTGGCATCTTCTTACACTGGACTGAGCCAAAAAGTCTTCCACCAGCCGTGTTCCAATGCCATATCCCATTTTATCTAAGTATTTGTTCATATCTTCATCTTTTTCATAATCCTTACACAGTTGGGCAACCAGAGCTCCATAGGTGAGGATCAATAGGTCTTTGTTCCATCTGGGTCCAATGCAGAGCAGCACAGAGCAGAAAGCAAACTTTCACGGTGGTGGCAAAGAACAAGAGCACAAGGCCATATATACATATTAATAGGCACATAGTATCTCAAAAGTGTGTGTGTGTGTTGCCAGGTGTGGGGATGCATGCTTGTAATACTGATGTCATGGGCTGGGTCAGAGGTCCCCAAGGCTGAAATAAGGAACTTAACTTACCTTTTTAACAGAAGCATGTAGGTTTGTTGACTCCCATCATGGAAAAAGTTTTGGAAGACATCAGGAAAAAAAGGCAAAAGAAGGATTAGAGGGAGAGACAGGAAGTTGTCACAAGTGAAGTGCAGGTGCTCAGAGAAATGAGGCCCATTAATAAGCCATGGTAGGGCACATTTGAACACTATTTTCAATGTAGGTGATCTCAGATGTATATTCTCACCATTGGCCAGGCAAGCTGTTTATAGTGAATTCAAGACCAGTTTAAACTATATTGAAAGCCCCCGTCCTAAACAAAAACAGGGCCAGGTGTGGTGGTGCACATCTGTAATCCCAGCACTTGGGAAGCTGATGCAGAAGGCTCACTGTGAGTTTGAAGCCAGCCTGGCCTACCTGGCAAGACCCTGTCTCAAACAAACAAAACCCCCCAGAAACCAAAATCAGGTGGGAGCCAGGGTATAGTTAGTGGTAGAACACTTGTTTAGCATGTCAGAGACTAAATTTAATCCCTGGTATTACCTCCCTCTCCCCCACACAAAAAAAGAAAATAAAGCCAGACACATTTTACTGAGAGAGGAATGGGTTGTCATGATTGGATTTCCAGTCAGTAGATGGAGTTTTGTTGGAGGAAAGTGTACCTTGGATGACCTGAGGCTGATTCTAGTTAAATTCCACTTCTGGTTTTTAGCCGGTGGGTAGGTTTTTTTTTTTTTTTTTTTTTTGTGTGTGTGTGTGTGTGTGTTTGTTTGTTTGTTTGTTTCCCCTGTGTTTTGGGGCAAGTCACTAAATCTCTGGGCCAATTTTGAACTTCTTTGATAAAGGCTCTGAAGGTATTTTGTAATCAGAGCACAACTGTAAGACATTCCCAGGGCTTCCAACAACCTGAGTCATCTGTTGAGATTTCACAGATCCATGTTAGGACTTTCTAGCAGTCAGGAACAGATGGATTGGCTGAAGATTAGAAATAAGTAAAAGCTTTGGTATACCGCTCCCTAACAGCTAGCCAGTCTTTTTAGCTTTTTTACTCTTGGTTGCTCCCTACAATCTATAACCACACTGAGGCAAGAAGCCATTCACATTGCCCACACTACAGGAAAAACCACACGCAGCCTTTCCCCAGATCCTCTGAGTCCTGGAGGGAGAAGCAGAGAGCTGGGCTCTGGGAGATGTTGCTGGGAAACACCTTTCAGAACACTGGAAACTGTGAGAAGCACAGCTGACAGTTTCAGTGAAGCCATAAGTAATAGTCATTGGGACTTGTAGTAGATGCCTTCTGTGACAGAACTGGCCACTCTTGCTGACCAGGGAAAGGGGATGACTGGACCATCAGCTTTGCCTACAGGTAAATTCCCAGTATGTAAAGGTCCTGATGGGGTCTGTCTTTATTTGGGAGTGGTTATTGGTGTATTTTCCCTTAGGTGTCTACTTTCCTAGGTCTCCTGTACCCCTGTAACTGGCTGTGGCCACAGTTGAGGCCAAGTCTTCAGCAAGGTCTGTTCCTTAGCAGTGCATGTCCAGGCCTGAGAGAACTGGTTTAACTTGCTTGTGAGAGTCTTGATTCCACCTGGGACTCCTTTGGCTTCAGGGAAGGGAGGTAGATGGAATTGGGGGTGGAGAATTTGGGACGGAGCCAAAGAGATCTGTCAGTTCCAGGAGGTATCCGGAGAGGTGACTGTACTCTGAGGAAGGAAAAATTCCTCCAGGTTTCCCTGAACTCCCCAATAGATTTTTCCATGGCTTCGCAGCAGAGAAACAGGCAGAAGGAAAAAAGGAAAGGGGCTTTATTATCTTTGATGACACAGACAGAATCTGGTGAAGATACAGGATTCTTGGCTGGGGAGATGGCTCAGTGGAATAAGTGCTTCCCTGGCAAGCACAGGGGCCTGAGTTCAATCCCCGATTCCACAAAAAAAGAAAAAGAAAACAGATAAGGGATTGTCTGAGTGGGAACAAAGGGAGGCTGAGGATTTTATGGCCTTTTGCCAAGAGTGATGTTTGAGGGAGATGTTTAGATATACCTGAAAACTGATTGAGGCCTTCCCTGAGACAGCGGGAAAGGTGAAAGGCAATTGTATCCTGGGCTGGGTAGGAGAATAAACAGGGAGGTGGTCTGAGGAAAGATAAACTGTTATTTTAAGGGCTTCATCCATTTTAGATGACCACCATAATAATTCAGCAATTCCTGCTAGGGTCAGAACCTATCACCCCCAGCTGTAGTTTCACAGGTCCATATCTGTCTCTTGCTCTTCCTTGCTTGCCTTTTCTTTTTCTTTTGTTTTTCAAGTACTGGGGTTGAAACTAAGGCCTTTCTACCAAGCTTCAGTGCCAGTTTTTAAATTTTTAACATTTTGACACAGGGTCTCACCAAGTCAGTTGGTAAGTTGCCCAGGCTGGGCTGAAACTTTTTTTTTTTTTTTTTTTTTTTTTGACATAAGTTCTCACTATGTAGTCCAGGCTGGCCTTGAACTCTCAGTGATTAACCTGCCTCCCAAATATTGGGATTATAGGCAGGTGTGAGCTATCTATCATGGCCCCCAGAGGCTTAATTATTTTTTTTTCTTTTGTTTTTTTGGGACAGGATCTCACTTCTGCTTCAGCCTCCTGAGTGCTAGGATTACAGACATAGCACACCATGCCTGACCAAGAGACTCAAAGTTTTAATCCTCTTTCCTCAGTCTCTCAGTGCTGGAGCTGAAACCAGGATTTATTTTACATTCAGTTTTTGTTTTTTTTGTTGTTGGAAAATATCATTAAAATCTTTTTCATCATTTTTTCTCAGTCTATTTCTATTAATTGTTTTATTTCTTTCTGTATTTCTGTTTCTCTTCATTAAAACTAAGCAAAAGCCAGGCAAGTGGTGCCAACCAGCACTTGGGAGTTTAAAGGCAAGATTGAAAATTCAGGTCCTACCTAGGCAACTGAATGAGACCCTTTCAATGATGAAATTTAAAGGGG